TTCACCGGAACGAATAGAATCTCCACAACGGATTGAAGCGTGCGTCCGAGTGAAGACATTGCGCTAGCCACAACAGAACACTGTATCCGGACCGCGCCACTGATCGCAGAGGCAACGAGCACATGATCACTTGATTAAAAAAAAAAAACACACGTTAGCTAGATCGCCTGCTAGATCGATGTTTTACTTGTATTGGTACATCCGTACCGTGAGATGTTTCAAAAGTGGTGGGGACAAAATCGACCCTGGCAAATAGTGGTGTGGACATGTCCTAACCCTGTGCCCCCATCACTGTCAAGCACTTTCAGAGAGTGCTGGGTCTCCTGGCGGCAGCGTCCAACGTGATTCCTTTTGGCCTGCTGCACATGAGAGCCTTACAGTGGTGGCTCAAGACCAAGGGGTTTTCCCCGAGGGGGAACCCTTTTCGCATTATCAAGGTAACGCGCAGATGCCTTCATTCCTTGATAATGTGGAAGAAACCTTGGTTTCTCTCCCTAGGTCCTGTGTTGGGGGCACCGTGTCAGCGAAAAATTGTGACCACGGATGCTTCCCTAACAGGCTGGGGTGCGGTTATGGAAGGCCGCTTCACCAGGGGGCTTTGGAAAGACCACCATCTGTCTTGGCACATCAACTGCCTGGAGATGTTGGCGGTAGTTCTGGCTCTCAAGCACTTTCTTCCGGACCTCAGAGGCCATCATGTTCTGGTACGAACAGACAATACGTCAGTGGTCTCCTATTTAAATCGGCAGGGGGGCCTGAGATCGCGCCCTCTATGCAGACTGGTGCACCAGGTCCTCCTGTGGGCCCAGGGCAAACTTCTTTCAGTCAAGGCTATGTTTATCCCTGGAAGCAGCAATGTGGGAGCAGATATTCTGTCGAGGCAGGGGCTGAGGCCCGGGGATTGGAGACTCCACCCAGAGTCGGTGGAGCTAATATGGAAGGAGTTTGGACAGGCCGAAGTGGATCTATTTGCCACTCACGAGAATTCTCACTGCCCACTCTGGTTCTCCCTATCGCATCCAGCTCCCCTGAGGGGGACCAGCTCGTAAATACTGGTCTCTCAACTGAGGTTGTGGAGACCATTTTAAACTCTAGAGCCCCCTCCACGAGGAAACTTTATTCATTAAAATGGAACGTTTTTAACATATGGTGCAGAGAACTTCAGTTGGACCCAGTTAACTGCCCGGTGGCTTCAGTGCTGGAGTTCCTCCAGAGTCGCTTCTCTGACGGGCTCTCCCCGTCCACGCTTAAGGTCTATGTGGCGGCCATAGCTGCCTTCCACACGCCTCTAGGGGTGGGCACCTTGGGGAGACACCCACTTATTGTTCGTTTCCTTCGTGGAGCAAGGAGGATGAGGCCTGTCGTCCAGTCCAGAGTTCCCTCTTGGGACTTGACAGTGGTCCTCGAAGGGTTATCCTTGGCCCCTTTCGAGCCCTTGGATGAGGTGTCTGAGAAATGTATGTCCTTTAAGGTGGCCTTCTTGCTGGCAATTACGTCCCTCAAGAGAGTTGGGGACCTGCAGGCTTTATCGGTTGCTCCCTCGTGTCTCGAGTTCGCTCCTGGCCGGGTAAAGGCCATTCTCCACCCTAGACCTGGCTATGTGCCTAAAGTGCCGACAAATGTGGCACGGTCTATAATTCTTCAGGCGTTTCATCCTCCACCGCATGTGTCGGATGAGCAAGCTAAGCAACATTTATTGTGCCCGGTCCGAGCCCTGGAGGTCTATACTCAGAGGACCCTGGGCTGGAGAAAGTCAGACCAACTTCTTGTGTGCTTTGGGTCAATTAGGAAGGGTTCTCCTGTTTCTAAACAAACTATCAGTAGATGGATAGTAGAGGCTATATCTTCTGCTTACGAGGCGCGCAGTTTGCCTTCGCCTCTTCTGGTGAAAGCCCACTCGACTAGAGGAGTGGCTTCCTCTAAGGCTCTACTGTCAGGAGTTTCTCTTCAAGAGGTCTGTGATGCCGCAGGCTGGGCCTCCCCTCACACCTTCGTAAAACATTACAGTCTGGATCTGCCCTCTACACCGGGATCTCAAGTTCTCTCGTCTTGAGTATGCCAGATTTCATACCAGGGCGTTTCTCTCAGAGTGGCGCAGTGGGCATTCGTTCCCCTTAGTGTCGATTTTCGACGCAGCGGAAGTTCCCTCGAAAGGGAACGTCTCGGGTTACGACTGTAACCCTCGTTCCCTGAGAAGGGAACGAAACGCTGCGTCCCTCGGCCACTCCTTCGCGCTCCTGAGAACGACTTGCTTCGACCAATTGAAAGCTGGCGCCATTATGTTGCCGGTGTCCTTTTATAGTTTCCGGTTCACCGTCACATGCGGCGTCACGAGTGACGTCATCACGCAGCACCAATCAAGATTGGACTAGTTCCATACAGGCTTCAGACGCGTCACGCTGAAGGCGTTCCCCTTAGTGTCGATTTTCGACGCAGCGTTTCGTTCCCTTCTCAGGGAACGAGGGTTACAGTCGTAACCCGAGACGTTTTACATGTAAGAGCTTTCCGGCTGGAAAGCCCTGCCGATATTGACTCTCGTCTGACTTCTTGCTTTATCCAAAGACTTTTTGGTCATAGCCTTTTCAAATACTGTCTTCCTTTTTTGCCTGGTTTTCCTTTGCTGACTGTATGCAGGTAACTGGGAATTTTGACTGCTCTTTCTCTGCCATAATTGTGATTCTTCTTAAATAGAATGTTGGGTTTAATTGGTCGTACAATGAGTTCTACTATGTTGTTAGTGTCATGAATTTTCACATGAATAAATACATATATCAGCCTGATGTAGGCTACATATGTACTGCAATAGTCCAGTGGCAGAATTTTTGCCAAGCGTGTCGGAGGTTCTGGGTTCTAATCCGCACTCGAATAGTTTTTTTTCCCCTCATAAAAAACGATTATGTTTATCAGTGGTTGTATATCAACAAGCAGGGACACGTTTGTTTGCATTTTTTTTGCGATTTCACCGGAACGAATAGAATCTCCACAACGGATTGAAGCGTGTGTCCGAGTGAAGACATTGCGCTAGCCACAACAGAACACTGTATCCGGACCGCGCCACTGATCGCAGAGGCAACGAGCACATGATCACTTGATTAAAAAAAAAAAACACACGTTAGCTAGATCGCCTGCTAGATCGATGTTTTACTTGTATTGGTACATCCGTACCGTGAGATGTTTCAAAAGTGGTGGGGACAAAATCGACCCTGGCAAATAGTGGTGTGGACATGTCCTAACCCCCCCGTAAATGACGCCTATGCTGGTGTGAAAGGGCCATTACATTTGCAAAAAACAAACAAACAAGCACAGATGAGAAAAATTAATGGCAAAGCAATGCAAAAGTACTTAACTTTTCATAAAAAGTAACTAAGAACGCATTTAGTCAGGGCCGGCGCTCCGCACACGCACATCACGCGCTGCGCGTAGGGCACCAAGTGCTTGGGGGGGCACCAAAAAATCTGGGTCGTGAAAAATCATCACAATAGGCTACTAGTATAAATAACAAATAAAATATGTCTAAACCATGTTAATATACAAAAGCAATACAAAAGTAATATAGGCCTAGACCAAATTAGTCGAGAAAAAGGTGAATCTCCTTTTTCGTCTCCCTCTGGTGCCCCCCCTTCCCCACCTCCCAGTGGTCTGTTCGATTATGCCTCAATCAATGTCAAATTTGGCAGACACCGATCTCAGACATGGCCTCGGAAAGGCACCAAGAGTCGGGGGCGAAAAAAGGAAAAAGAATAGACAGCGGGATGATACTCGCGCGTCGCTTTGCAGGTAAGACAATTTTTTAAATAAAAATATTAGTTTTGTAGCGCGGGCGCCCTTGCGTCGTGTATGCATGTCCAGGGGGCGTCGCTAGTAGTGCAAATGAAATGATCCGGGGCTTTTTTAGCCCTGCATGTTGAATCTTTTATTTTAACGGGGGTCCGGGGCTTTCTCCCCCGGATAATTTTGAAACTTGGGCTGTTTAAGATGCAGTTAGTTTGTTTGAGAAGAAAAGGAAGACCGCTTAGATACGTTTTTTCGTTGTTGTTTTATGCGGATAATGCGTTCATTTTCAAGAGGTTCATAGGCCAAGGCCCAAGGGCGACATCTGTTGGTGAAACTGCAATTAGAAAAAACAAAACAAAAAAAACCCACAATCTCAGTGTTTGTATATTTTCATATTCACAGAGTTGTCAAATTATTAGGGCTGGGAAAAGATTAATCGCATCCAAAATAAAAGTTTGTGTCTACATGATATATGTGTGTACTGTGTATAATTATTTTGTATATATAAATACACACACATATGCACGTATATATTTAAGAAATATTTGCATGTATATACTGTATATATAATTTATATTATATATAAATTTAAATATTTTATATATAAATAACAAATATTTCTTAAATACATACATGCAAATGTGTATTTATATATATATGCAAAATAATTATACACAGTACACACACATATATCATTCATGTAGACACAAACTTTTATTTTGGATGCGATTAATCGCGATTAATATTTTCCCAGCCCTACAAATTATGTACAGAATTATTATATTGTGCTTCATCAGACTAAGAAATTCTGAATGGTTGTTATTCCTTGGGTGGGGGGGGGGGGGGGGGGTTGGGGGGGGGGGGGGGCACCACCAAGCATTTGTGCTTAGGGCACCCAAATGGCTAGCGCCGGCCCTGCATTTAGTTACATTTTTAGGGAGTAATGCAATATTGTAGGCTAATGCATTACTTTTAAAAGTAACTTTCCCCAACACTGGTTAGGATAGGGACTAATAGCAAAAGAACAAGTGGACCTAGTATCCAATAAATAATTACTAGAGAAACTGATAAATGTATTGTCAATATCGGATTACTTTGAAGACTAATTAGAGAGTAGGCTACCTACCCGAGAGTAGGCCAAGTTAGTTTAGGCGATTAAATGTTAAAACGGCTTGCCATAGCTTGTGCGTGTGTAAGGGAGAGAGAGAGAGAGAAAGAGAGAGAGAGAAAGAGAGAGACGGACATCGGGATTCAGGACTCCCGAATCTTGACAGCTGTGGGTGAAGTACGGAATGGATATCTGAGAGGCATATACATCGTCATTGTTCGCGAGTGGGAATACTAATAACTATTATCGTCATTATTATATCCTTGTGAGAGAAACGAAAAAAAAGAATCATAATTGTTTGCCCACTTGCTCACACAAGAAGAGGACTCGTTTGTGAGTGAGAAAGACTGAGAGCAGATGAGAAGTCGTACCACCGGATGGTTTTTATTATTTGGTGTCTTTTGATGCACGAACGGACTCTGAAATGGGTCGCCATGACGACAGAGCGCTGAGTTAGCGGCTAATGCGTTATACGCATTTGTTTCTGTTATTGTTTTATTTTATCATTTCCCTATCTCCTTTATAGTGCTAAAATATGTGGTAACCTCGCTGTCAGAAGACACGGGTGTTGTCAGATACAAAGAAAGAAAAAGGAGGAGGAGGTGTTAAGAGGTGTTTGTTCCCCTTTCTTTTTTTCGTTTATCAATTTTCCACTACGCTCCTTCCTTTTTATGTCTTCTTTCCTTTCTTTCCGTTTTTCTTTTATTGTTTTGGGGACACGGACTGGCGCGAAGAAGGTAAATTGATGTGCGAGAGCATGCGACACATTCATGACGAATTACCTCAGAAAAAAAATACCGATGGCATAAACACCGGCTTCAGCACTGAAGTACGAATAATCACCTGGAAAGAACCGGAGACGCATCGACAACAACCCTTTCATCGCGGTAAGCACATTTCTGTTGTCTATTGTTATATTACATTTATGTATATTTGCATGACATTTGCGTGAAACTCGTCTGTATCGGTTTGGCGCACCGCTCACGAATGAGATCTCTAATTAGAAGTGTTGAATAGGTGCGCTTTGGTCAGGCAATACCGACTGGCCTGTTTATAAGAAATAGAGATTTTATGATTGACACACTTGGCCAATATCCGCATATCCTACTATTTTATTCTGCCATGTCTCATCTGCTTCAAAGAAAAACGACGCGTTCATCAGATCTAGATCAAATGATCTCGACGCGACTCTGTCGCGTGGCCTTTACCGGCCATTTGCGCCTCTAATTGCATCCATCGCTCGTCCCTGTGGCAACGTGGGGATTGATTTATTTTTGCACCTGATAGATAATGGTAATGCGCCTTGAATGATGGCAAACATCCGCAACCCACAGACTTCCCATCGCCTGTTAAATGTTTAATGGCATTTACGTAAGTGTGAGATAGGATGGAGCGAAGACAACCCACCTAACCCAACTGCACATCACGACGCCCATGCACACATAGGTATGGAGGTGTATAGAAAGCCATGGCTCACATAGAGGGGCACATTTATATGCTGTGGTGGTTGGGCAGTGCTCTGTCAATGGCAGAATTCAGGACAGACAAGGAGTCCTCTGTTCTCCTGAAGGCTGAGGATATGCCCGTTCCTCAGCCCAAGTGCTGGTTTATCGGTCTAATGTCTAATATGACCTGGTGTAGATCGTTTAGTGGTTCTGTCTGCTGTCCTTGTATAATGTAGCAGAGGTGAGTGTTGCTCAAAGCTTTCCGTTCTTTGCTGGAGTTCTGCTGCAGTCCCTCACGTGGATTGAGGAAAAACTAGTAGTTGATTTCAGAGCATGTGTCTATGTGGAGCATTCGGCCTTGAGCCTTCATGTGAGCTACTGTGCACATCCATCATACTGCCTTTCATAAAATAAAAAGAGAAAACCCTCTGGTTGGTGACCCACTCAAAAGAGGACAAAAAAATCTATGGAATTATGGCTGACAAGAGCAAATATTTAAGGATGGGTCCGATCTTTTGATAATTTGCGGAATTTTAGTCAAATTCGATATGTCAAAATGCTGTCGATCATTTTGACAGATAAAAAATAAGCTAATAACTTTCCGGAAAGAAAAGAAAGTTTTAAAGTGTCTCGGACCAGCAGAACTTAAGTGATGATTTTGGTGGAAAAATTGTAATTCTATAAGTAATTCAATACAATATGTGTTATCATATTGTATTTAATAAGCTGACCATTGTGTTTTTTACATTGCAAGAGCAGAATACAAAGAAGCCACAACAAAGCACTTGGTAAGACTAATGGAACATTTGTTATATTAGTCACCTAAAAATACCATTCCAGTCAGATTGGCAGATAATGATCATTTGTTCCACAACCTTGGATTGTTAGGGTCTTGTATTGTTTGCTCTATTCATCCCTCCATTTAATCATCTTTATACTGCACTCAACTGAATGCCCACTTCAAACCTGATTCGGAATGAGTTTTACAATATGTTGATAGATGGATGAAGCACAGCCAGAATGCCCTGAAGTCAGAGCAAATGGTCTTCATTATTATGAGCGGAACAATATAGAGTGCTATATACTGTACCCAGGGCTGGATCATTTGTGACGTAAGAGGGATGGAGAAGTGCTTGTGTTTCAGGCTGGCCCAGGCCTCAGAACAGGTAAATAATGAAGAAAAGTGCAGTGTTAGCTTGATGTAACCCCCTCCATGTGCCCTTCTGTGCTGCCTGTCGTTAGTGTGTGTATGCCGTCTTGGGAAGCACTCACATGCACTGCAGCCTTATTAAACTTTAAAATTCTCTGAGCACTGGGCAAAGCTAAAAGAGATGGGTTTTAGACTTGGCTCCTTTAAAAGGGGGTTTGTGAATAAATCAGAAACATCCTTGTTGTCTTGTGTTACTGTCCGGTCCATGATGGACAGTTGTAATTTTGAGAACAGAACAATGGTTCTCGATTCAGAGTATTTGACTTATTCACGTATGCAAAAGAGTGATAATTATATTAAGAATTCATGATGATGGTAACAATGTTTCCCTTTTTTTCACTCCAAGGAACATCGAAGGTCAGCACGTTTTTTTTTGTTCATTCACACATGCACAACAGTATTTGTCAGACAGTATTCTGTGTCCATGCGGAATTTATTCGAAAGCTTTCATCTCCCACAAAAGACCGACCTCTGCCTAGTCTTGTAAACGCAGTGTCAGTGAAGTTGTGCTAAAATACAGTTTTTATTCAACATTTATCTCTTCGTCCTAGGACACAGCATTTGAGCATGCAATTGTCCAGATAAGCATTTCTGAATGTTTATGCATCACAAAAAAGCGAGCGTTATAAACCATCGGTCTCCTTGAAGTGTCGCACAACCCTTCTTTTCCATCTTTCAAAGCGGCCATGACCTGTGAGTTATCAACGGTTGATTTTCTGCAGCGATGTCTGATCGCAGTACACGCTTTCTGAACTCCGATGTGTTGTTGTAAAGTTGCGATTGTGTTGGTTTGTGTGGCCTGATGTGCTCAGACATCTGTGTGCCGTTATCTCTGTCCCAGCATGTGCAGTGAGATCCACTCACTGTAGACAGCAATGCCACAAGCAATGAATCATCGGCTGAACCTGACAGCCTCCCCCCGTCTAGCTCTAGATTTCAGCCTCCACACATGATATGTGGTGCCCGTTGCCCTGACAGAGTCCTGCCGTTGTTCTGAGCTGTAAATGCACTAATAAAGCTTCCGTGCTACAGGAATCTCCTCTCATAACTTTACCTGGAGCGGAAAGGTGTGTACCTGCAAGAAGGGAGCACCTCGCGTACCTTTCAGAAGAGTGCTGAGTCAGGTTTTCCTGCCTTTCCTACGTGACTAATGCAGAGACATTTTGTTAGAGAAGCTCTGGACTGACTTTATAGCTCTCTCAAATAATCCCTGTCCTTTAGAAGTCTGGAATCCACAGATAGACATGCTAAATGCCACATCTGTGTTCTATCTCGGATAGCAATGAAAAGGCCGGAGTGTCCACTCATCTTGAGTTTTTGCTCAGGTCTGAAAGAACCTGTAATCCGTCAGTAAGATATATTTTTTTAGGATGGGTGCTGAGCTTTAAAGTTGCCTAGAACATGGCGCTCCCTCACTCTTCAGTGCGCTGCATGAATCTGAAAGGAACTGGGAGATGTAGAAAATGAAGAAAAAGGACCAGAGTGAAAGGAGAAACACACAAGTGAAGTCGGCAGCTCAGCCTGTGGTTTTCGGGGAATAACTGCTTTTTTAGATGACAAGTTCAATGAACATTTTGGTGGGAAAACAGATTCATGTCACTTGGAAAAAAAGACCGATGCAGTTTTTCCCTGCTGTTCTGAAAACTGTATTTAATTATTCATTTGTTTGGAAACCCAAATCACAGCTGGGGCTACATTGCAGCTTTAGAGGAGTGATGGAGGTTCATTAGTCGTGGAAAAACTCCAAACAAACCCGCCAGTGACCGGATCAGACAGACAGACAAACGGTCGGTCCTTTTCCGCCCAGTATTCCTTGATTTAGTCAGAATCCGTTCTGTTAAGCTCTCTGGTTTAGTAAAGCTTCTGTGCACTTTAAGTGTACTGCCTTCTTTCATTATCTTACCCTAATGGCATAAATCCAGCGTTACGAATTAATTACAGAATGTAAAATGTGTCCTATTTCAGGCACAGTAAGTTGCCCTGAAGGTGAGCATCTGGCTTTGTTGCAGTGTGTTTTTAGAGTGGAAACTGCACCAAAAAATTATGTTGAATAGTAGGAGTTTGTCAAGGGTGTATGTTTAATGACTCATCCGCCCGGTACAAGAAGACTCAAGTGAAAGGTGACACTCTCCAACTGATATTGACATTATGCAGGTTCATTTCAAGCCAATTATGGACGAGGTGATGATTGTAAAATTGCGTATTGATCTTGGGTTTTAGTGTGGACCCTCCCGCCCTTGAGTGTTAAACATAGTCGAGTGCTGCCCAGTGTAATCACATCAAGAAACCTCCCCAAGATTCCTCTTCACGCTTCCTCTCTTCATTCTGAATGTTGATTGTCTTAGTCTCTCTGCAGCATGATCTGTTTCCCCCTCACCCCTCGTCTTCAATGGTCGAAGATTCCCAGACTGTGCCCACCAAGCTTCGAGAGATTTAAGAGACTTTTGAAGTTTGGAATATGGACCTACATGCAAGACGAACCGTCTGTTATGGTCTCATGCAAAAATGGAACTAAGATCCTCCATTTCTATTTGTGTAGATCCTGTGGCCCTTTTAGGATGTAATGGGCACCAAAAATGCTAAATATATCCTGTAGCAAGTTCAGTTGTCTTCGTTTCTCTATGTATCGCTATCAACATGAGTACTACTGTATGTGCAGCTGTCGCCTTTCTACGAGGATTAAAAGCTTGCAAAAAATTAAGGCCAGTTTTCGTTTTGTAGTTTTGTAATGCTGTTATTTTGTGTCACTCTCAATATGTTGGCAAACAACTCTTGCACTTTTCCATTTATGCTACAGATGGAGTGAGCGCAAGCTGCTCTGGCAACTTTTTTTTTTTTTTTGAAAACAGGCAGTAATGACAGGTGCATTGGATGGTGTGCGAAAATATAGTAGCATTTCACTTCCAGATCAGCTTGAACAACTAGGCTACTTCTTATCATGCGTGCCATCACGCAGCAGGCGTTAATGTCTCCTGTGTTAATGTGAGAATGAAGAATAGTGGCATTATGAACCTGTATTAATAATGAATACTAACTATTGATTATCTTCATGGTTGAGTCATTTGTCTCAGAATGCATCAATTGATCAGTTAACTGACTGAGAGCTCATCATCAACTCGAGCATTGACATTCAAATCCAGCAGAGATTTGATTTATTTAGCATGTGTTCAACTTTGCTGTGCAATATTATTTATGCATTCCCTCAGATTATATTATATGCTAAAACGATCAG